GGTTTTTTTTGGTTTTTTTTTTTTTTTTTGCTTGCTTGCTTTTCAGTGCTGGGGTGGAACCCAGAGCCTTTCATGCTAGGCACACACTTTACCACCCAGCCACACCTTCAGATCCGTGTAACGTTTTTATCTTGGTTCATTGGCGTTGCCGGTGTCAGTAGTTTGTTCATTTTTATTGCTGGATTGTATCCGGTTGTATGGGCTGTAAACTGCCTTCTGTTCATTTAGTCACTACTTAATGGGTATTTGAGTTGTTTCCAGTTCTTGGCAGTTATGAATAATACTGCTATGGATATTTTTTAACAAGAGTTTTTTGTTTTGTTTGTTTGTGTGCTTTTGCAATTTCTCATGCATAGATACCTCAGTAGGTTTGCTGGGTCACTCTGTTTATGAATTTGGTGAATTGTGAAGTCTAACTTTTTAAGAAACTTAATTGTTTTCTACAGCAGTTGTGTTGTGCCATTTTATATTTTTATGAGTAATATATGAGAGTTCTGGTTCTCATCCTTAACACTTGTTTATCTTTTATTATAGCAGTTATGGTAGCTGTTAAATGGTATTCATTGTGGTTTGAATTTGCATTTCCCTAGGAACTAATTATGTTGAGCAGCTTATGTTGTGCTTATTTGCTTTCCACAGATTTTTTTTCAGTAAAACGCATATTCACATCTTTTGCCTGTTTCTGATTGGGTAACACGATTTCCTTGTGCTGGATACAAACCCTCTATTACATTTTGATTTGTGAATATTTTCTTATAATATGTGTCTTGTGTTTTCATTTTCATAATTATATCTTTGAGTGAGGTCCTTGAAAACCCCTCAAGATGTTTCTGTCTTTTACCCAAAATATCTTATTCCCACATTGTGCCTCTAGCTGATGAACGTGAGGATCTGAAGAGGGCACACTCCTTCATGGGGACATGGCTGTCTTAGCAACAGAGGATGGTCTTCCGAGGAAGCACGCTCTACTGGGAGTGTGCTCCTGAGCCCTCTCTTGGGCGATCATTGTGCCTTCACTGATCGTGGGTGCTGCTGGCAGGTCTTTTCTTCTCTTTCCTTTGCAGAATCCAAACTGCCCAGGCTGGAGTCCAAGTGCCCACTCTCCAGTGCTGTGCTTCGTCTTTCCTCACAGGTGCCCTCCCTTCGCCTGAAGCCCTAGAAGTTCTGTCTCACATATCTTACCTCATTTGTGTTGAAGGGCAACTCTACGATGTGACGCGACGCTGTTCATGATTTAAAGATAAAGAAACACCAAAAGAGGAATGGAGGAGTTGGTTACAAAGAATGGGTTCTTAAAAAGCCATTTTTAAAAGCCAGGACTAACTCTCTCTCTCTCTCTCTCTCTGTCTCTGTGTGTGTGTGTGTGTGTGTGTGTGTGTGTGTGTGTGTGTGTGTGTGTGTGTGTGTGTGTGTGTGTGTGTGTGTACCTGCAGACATGTTTTTAGAGAGATGAAGAATGTGGAGCCCTCACAGTTCTAACTAACAGGCTGTGCCGGGTTGTTGGTGATTTCCTATCAGCCAGGCTGTGATCCTGAGAGCCAGCCACACCTGTGAAATGGACCTACTTCCTCTCCCTTCAGGACTGTAGAAAAGCAGTTAGGAGGCCTTTAGAGTACAGACTGCTATCCTGATTCCGTAACCCACTAGTTGTCACCTAAAAGAAATCACTGCTTCTAATAAAATACTCCTTTAATTGGGGCTTTGCCATGATTAAGTTCATGAATGCACATGTGGTCATAAGCATAGTGCTTGGTATAAAATTCTCAGTGACTGCTAACTGTAGTTGGGGATTGACTTCTTGGGTATGCTTGGCCTCAATATGGTGAAAGAACTCAGAGTTGGCATTAGGGGCCAGTGTCGGCCATGGTTGGGACTTTGACCCCCAACTAGGTTAGTCATGCTGGATCTGTTTCTCCATGCTTTGTTAAGACCCATATCCTAAGACTTTATCTTCTCTTGTTGTAAGAGGATCTTGAGAGGAACCTGAACTCCCTATCCATCTCCTTTGAGAGTACTTTTAAACATTTTAAAAACACAAATGTATGTTAATAAAGGATTTAGAAAATATAAAATTAAAAAATCTCTCATAGATTCATTATCTCATACAGCCACTGTTAATTTTTTGCAGTGTCTTTCACATGCCTTCTTTCTCTTAGTTTAGGAGTCCACTTTTAAAGTCACATGTAATGTTATATCTTGCTATTTTCACTTAATGTCATAATTATTTTCCATTTACTATGCCTGCTTTATAAGCTTTTTTGTTGCTAAACATATTGTTTACTGGTATGATTTTGCTGTATTTTCTTTAACTTAATGCTGACTGTTGGACATTAGGCTGCTTATATATTTTAAAACTATAATACATAGTATGGCTAAGACCATCATAGTAATAATAATTTATTTTCTCTTTGTAGGGTTATTTTGCAAGGCAGATTGCCCCAAAATTGGCCAAAGGGTAGGAGCATATTTAGGATAAACAATTAAATGTTCAAAATGGAAGACTGCTGAAACCTTCAGGCTCTTAAGTGGTAGCAGGGGAAGATGGGGCTTCCCACATTGCCTACCTCCTTTGAAGGAACCCCCGCACCAAAACTCTTTCACTAGGTGTATGTGTGCCTGATTCTTCTCTTAGTGGCCAGTTTTCCTGCTCTGTACTGAGTGTCACTTTCCCCTGGCCTTGGGAGCTGTTGTGAATGCCTGACTTCAGAGAGGTGAGATGATCTGAATGTTTTCATAGCCTTCTACTTTCCTAGCTAGCCAGTGGCCAGGCTTAGAGTTCTGCTGGCCCACAAGTCCCAGCCCCTACTGGGCCAGCTAAAAAAGAACGTGGTACCTTTTCTGCCTGTGTTCTACCAGTCAGACCTCTGCATTTCTTTCTCTCCTTTCTTTTCCATCCTAGGTTCAAACAGAAGCAGGCATCAGCCCAGAACAAGCTGTTGCAGATAGTGAAGATGGGAATAGAGGCATCTGTCAGACACTAGAAACTGTCTTTGCTTCAGGTGGAGGGCATAGATGACCACAAGAAGCAGCAGTCAGGCCAGCTGGTGAGTGCTCATCTTCCTGAGATGGCTTGCTGTGCATGTGTAGTACATGGAAGATGGTGGCTTACACCACCCCATTGGATATACTCACCTTCACTTCTGTAGAAAGAATACCTGTTTAGAAACAGTAACTTGGGTTCTTCTAGCCCTGGCTCTGTCAATAATTTGCTTTGGTATCTTAGATCTCTATAGTAAGGCACCAAATCATTTGACAGTCTCATTCAACTCTGAAACTTAACAGATATAAAGGAAGCATTGCTGTGTGTACCAGGAGGGTATAAAGAGAAGGTTAGGGGGTGCAATATACAACATAGAGCATCATTTTAAAGAGTTAGGCAGCCCAGATATAAATCCTGACTTCCAGTTTTTCGTTTGGGCATATTTCCTGAGCCTTGACTGAGGATCATGATGTTCACACACGTGATGTCCAGGCGATCATATACACTATCTATCCAGGGCTTACCACACACTTGGCAAATTACGGAAGTTACATTATTACTGCTGTTACTATTATTAATACCTGTATTTAATTAGAGACTCTTAGTTAGGATTCTTTCTGCATCAGTGCAGAATTTATTTCCTAACATGAGCAGTCTGGACATGCCTCCAGGGTTGACCAATTTATCATTTCACCAGTGTTTCTCCTCCTATTCTTGCTATCCCCAGAGTGCCAGTCCATACTCAAGCCATCCCCCTACAGGTAAATGATGGCTGCTAATAAGGCTTCGTCACATGCCAACTGGACAACACTCAACAGAAGAAGAGAGGGGTCTGTTGGCCCGCGTGGCCCTGTCATCTAGGACAACTTACTCAGAACCCCTCAGCATAATTCCTCTTCCCTCCTCTTGGCCTGAACCGTACAAGGTAACCATGGCTGAGCCAGTCCTTGGCAGAGGGAGTATGAAGGGCTCCACTAACTGCAGGTAGAGCTCTTTTGTAGTCACATTTGGGAAGGTGAACAGCTAGACAGGCAGAATCAGAACTGAGAGTATGGAGCAGGTGATGGGGCGTGGCTGTGGGCAGCAGCTAATGACGTGCTTCAGAGGCCAGGAGCAGATTTGCTCTGCATTAGGTGTGTAGCAGTGCGTACAGAACGGACTAGAAGACTGTGAGATTGCCCCTCTGGGGAACGGGCATTGGGCAGTCCTCAGCAGATATTTAATGTTTCTGATATCTTCAGCTTCCTGGGGTTTCTACTGGAATTTTGGCTTTACTGTCACGATTTTGTGCACTGCCCTCTCAGAGGCACTCTTCCTGACCTCCCAAGCCTTCCTTAGAAATTAGGGTAGAAGCCTCCCTTGACACCACAATGTTTGGATTTTGTATGCCTGGAAAACCAGCACCTTGTGAATGATGCCAAGGTCTGTTGCCAGCTTGAGCAGTAGCCAGGCCCTCTTATATCATGGCTGCCTCTGAGTGCTGGATAGTTGAGTACTGTGAAAGTAATGCCAGGGGACCAGTTTCCTAGGCAAGGAATCCAGAAGTTCTCTTTTCAAATGAATACAGTTTTAGCCTGTGATTCTTGCTGAGATGACCTGAAGCCATTTTTTTTTTTTTTTGTCCTGATGCAAAGTACTTTGCTTCTGTTAATGTTAATCTTTTTAGCAATAGTGTTCTCTTTTGCCCCAACTTGGCAGGCACTTCCTTTCTGGCAAAACTGGAATTGTTTGAATCATTCAACTTTGCTATTTGCTCATGATTTACTGTATACCTGGCTGCAGAAAGCCAGCAGTGCACAGGCTGAACATTGGCCTGCTTTGGGAATTCTATTGCCATATTCATTAGTCTACCACCTTTAATCTCAGTCTTCCATAAAATCTCAAAACAAAAATAAATTTTCTGCAAGAATGTAATACATACCATCTCTAGTACAGTTGCCAATGGAGTCCTTGTTACCAACTTAAATCCCCTGAGACTGGTCTTTACTATCTGCATTTCTATTAGGATTCTGGTCTTTTGTGTTTACAGCTCAATTTACGGCAGTCTGGGGCTTCTCTACCTGACATTTCCAAAACTTGCCAAATTCTTCCTGAAAGTTAGTTCTAAATGCTTCTGAACCATATGGTCGGGTAGGATGAGCAATGACCCCACTTCTCATACCATTTTTTTGATAGTAATTTCCTCATTGCTGAGACACAGTGCCCATCATCCACAATTTAAAGGAGGAGAAATTTATTGTGGCTCAGTTTCAGAAGTCACCATCCACAGTTGGCAGGCTCCAAGGCAGAAACAGCATGGTGGAGGGGCCTTGGCAGAGGAAAGCTACTCATCTCATGGCAGCCAGATAACAGAGAATGAGACGGATAAGGGGGAGTGACGGATAAGAATCTGTACACTCTTCCGGGTCACACCCTCAGTGATCTACCTCCAATCTGGCCTTGCCTCCTAATAGCACATTTAGCTGTTCAGCCCATTAATGGATGAAATGTGCTGATGAGAATAGCACTGCCACGATCCAGTCACCTTCCACCCATCTGAGAATTGGAGGGGACATTTTAGGTATAAACCACCACACTAAATTAGATGAATCGTAGTTTCAGCATCAGCTTAGCATGAGATCTAATAGATTTTACAGCCCTAAGTCAGAATCCAATGAAACAGTTGGCTTGTGTTTGAGAGCTGTGGCGTAGGAAAAATACAGATCTTCAAACTAGGCTTTAACTTGTGCATGTAATGAGATACTTTCTAAGAGACAAAGAAATGGAGGCAATCTGTGGAAACTATCTCTTCTGCCTCACCTGTCTTTGTTACTTTTATCATTGCTGAGACAAAATACCTAACACCCAGAGTTAATAGGAGGAAAGGTTTATTTAGCATGCAGTTTGTAGAGGTTTCTGTCCATAATCAGCTGGCTCCAAGGCAGGGTGGCATATGGCAGAGGGGCAACAGTTCATGGCAGTGGAATACAGAAAAAGAAACAAAGGGTAAGATAGCTTCTTTGTGTCCCTTATATTATATCCAGGTTACCAGGATTAGGGTGTTGCCAAGCCAATCAGAATACTGATTTAGTAGTTACATATCCTTAATCCTAGCATCACCACTCTAGATCAGCCACCTCTGAAAAAGCTCCTTTTAAGATTACATGAGGCTTTAGGGGGACATCTAGACACAAACCATAGCATTCCACCTTGGTCCCCCAAAGACTCATGTACATTCCTTTACAAAAAAGGCATTAATCCATCTCTAAGAGTTGCCAAAATCTTAACAGTTTCAGCACTACTGAAAAGTCCAAGACTGAAGTTTCGTCTGAGATTTAAGGCAAACTTCCAGTTGTGAGCCCCTGTACAAATGAAAAGAAAGTTGAACACTTCCAACATGCAATAGCACAACATAAACATTGCCATTCCATTCCAAAAGGTACAAATAGGAGGATACAAAATAACAAATCCAAAATCCAGGAGGGCAAACATTAAATCATGTGTAGTATCCAAGGCAATCTGTGGCAGGATGTGGACTCCAAACACTTTGGGTGGCTTGACTCCTATAGTACTTTTGGTGGTGGTAGTTCCCATAGCTTCTCTTTGGGGGCGGTTTTCCTCTGACTATCCACATTCCTTGCTTCTCCAAACTTCTGGTGTCTTTACTGCACCTTCAGCTTTGTATTCACGGCTTCTCACGCTGCCCTCTTGGGGGCACAGTGCATGTCCTCCAAGACCTTCTGAAATCTGGGTCGAGGCTTTCATGACCCTACAACTCTTGCATTCTGCATGTGCTTGAAATAAGTACCATGTGGATAATGCCAGTGTCTGCTGCCAGCAAGAGCAGTAGCGAGGCTTGCTTCTCTCTTGGCTGTAGGGGTCCAGTGCCTATGAACCAAATCCTGAGGAACAACTTCCCTAGGCCACGACCATTCCGAGACATGGTGCTTTGGGGCTCTCTTCTCAAAGCAAAGTCTTCCACTTTTGCAATTTTGAGGCTGGAAAGGGTAGAGCCCTGATACTTCTTTTGATGCCCTTAGGCCATCTTTTCTGTTCTTCTGTTACATCTCAGCAGTCAAGATCTCCTCAGCTCTATCTTTGTAGGCCATAATTTTACTGGAGCTTCTTTTCCAGCCAACATCAAACATTTTAAATCATTCTGCTGGCCTCTTTGCTCTTGATTTTCAGCATAAATCTGGCTAAAAAGCCCCAAAAGCAGCCATGCCACCACCTCAACATTAGACTGTCTTGAACTTTCTTCTGCCAGATTAATTAGGCTGCTGCCCTTAATCTCAGTCTCAGGCAAAGTCTCTGGACATGAACAAAATGAAGACAAACTTTCTGCTAAGGCATAACACACATTGTCTGGAGTCCAGCAGCCAATGCAGTCCTTCCCAGAAGAAACCTCCTAAGCCTGGTCTTTACTGCCTTTCTAGTCTTCGGAGCTCTTACCAGAATCTCCCAGACAGTACAGTTTAAGGCTGTGCTTTTTCACCTGGCATCTCCAAATCTTTCCTAACCCTTCTCCTTCCCACAAGACATTTCCAAAGGCTCTTACTCTACATGGCCAGGTAATGTCAGAGCAACAGACCCACTTCTTTGCTTCCAAATTCTGTCTTAGTTACTTTTCTTATTGATGAGACAAAATACCTGACACCCAAAGTTAAAGGGAGAAAAGGTTTCTTTAGCATGTAGTTTGTAGAGGTTTCAGTCCGTAACCATCTGGCTCCAAGGCAGGATGACACATGGCAGAGGGGCAACAATTCATAGTGGTGGGAGACCGCAAAAGCAACAAGGCGGAAGTCAGCCTCTTTCTGTCCCTTAGATCTAGGCTACCGGAATTAGGGTGGTGCCAAGACAATCACTGTACTGATTTAGCAGTCATGTACCCTTAAATCCCAGTATCACACACTCTAGATTCATCCACCTCTGAAAAGCCCCATCTAGATTGCGTGAGGTTTTCGGGGGACATCTAGACAAACCATAACAACACCCTTCACCACTTTGCAAAGCTCAGCACTCTACGTGTGACAGTCCTGCAGCAAGATCACTAAGCTCATTTCCATGGTCTGTCGAGAATGACAAGCATTCTCCACTTTCAAAATTACAAAACAAAATTGCTTTTAAGAGCTTTGACATACAATTCACTTCATGATTTTTTTTTCTCTCATTGAGTTTATTGGTACATTTTAGGTATACAGTACAGTTACATTCGTCATTGGGATCCTGTACTTCTACATGACAGGTAGCACGTTCTTATAGTTGTACAACAGTTACCTCAATTTTAAAGTGCTTTCACCTCCCCCAAAAACCAACTCTATCATTTACCACTTACTCCCATTTCTCACAATACTTCAAGGCCTGTCATCTATATACTTCCGGTCTCTATGCCTTTGCCTACTCTGGATATATGAAGAATGGAATCAACAACATTTAGTCCTTGGGCCTGCCTTCTCGCTTAGCCTACTGTTTTCAAGATTTTATCTGAGTCGTAGCATATATGAGTATTTCACTCCTTTTTATCACCAAATAATACTTCATTGTAGGGATAGATGTACTTTATATATCCATCAATGATTTGATGGGCATTTTAGTTAGAAGATAGCTCTTTTTGTACATATTTTTTAGTGGTCCTACGTATTCCATTCTTACATTTCTACATCAGGCCATACCTTCAAAAGTCAAATCTAGGTGGTTTAATATCTTAAGTGTAACATGCAGATTTTTTTTTAATATTCAGGATAAAGTCTTTAAAACCTTTGTGAAAGAAGGCTTTCATGAATAAATCAACAGAAAAACAGGCAACTCAAGGAATATATGAATGGTAAATAAATATATGAAAGTATATTTTATTTATATATACCATTCAGCTTGAATGGTAACTAGGGAAATGTCCACTGGTGAGGATCTGGAGAAATAAGGGATTGTATGAGCTCATGTGGGAGTGAGAATCCTTACACAACTTAGGGGGTGATTGAATGAGCTTGTGCACTCCACTCCTTAGCAAGACATCTACTCTGGTGCCTAGAAACACAGAGAGGCTCATAAAGAGAATTTGTAGCAGCACTCTTTGCCATGGCATAAAACAACAAAAACAAAACATCAGAATAAATAAATATTTACATGTTTATGCACTGAAATACTCCATAGAAGTTAAAGTAAACAAAATTGTATCCTCACTGCCAAATCACACCTCATATTGTATTGAGTGAAACAAGCAACTTGCAGGATTCAATATAGCAAGTATACATTGTTCAAATTATGCAAAATAAGCCTCTGTGTTGTTTGCTTTCCTATGTAATAGTGTCTAAATGGAAATGCAAGATTAAATTACAACACTAAATTCAAGTTTGTGGTTAACTCAAGGCAAAAATGGAGGATGGATTGGAGAGTGCTACTTCAGGACCCCGATAATGTTTTTAAGGTGGAAGATCAGGCTTGCTGTTGTTCATGACCTTTTCAAAAACCTTACTGAATGTTTGAAATATTCATTGAAAACAGTCATGTGTTATCTTCCTATGTACATAAAGAAGCACATACCAAACCATAGGCGTGTGTAATACTAATAGAATATTGAGTCATTTTTCTAATTTGTACCCATGTACATTTTTTGAAACGTTCTTCTAGACTGCCCATTATTATATGAAGCAGTGTAACAATGGAGTATTCAATTCAATAAATGTTTTCTCACAACAGACGTAGGGAGAGGCAACTCATATTTCCTTACATGAACATTCTTTTCTCCAGCTGTTCATGTTCTCAACAATAGGATGTCAGAATCAAATAGTCACTCAGGTCTCAGCAATACCTAGTATCCTTTGTAGACACTTCACTTTCCACCATACACTATTAACCCCCAGAACTGTGGAGGATATTATTTTATTGGGTGATTTGCAGTTTGAAGATCATATGGATTTGGAAAGATATTTCTGTGTATTTCATAGGGTTTCTGCTTCCCTAAGCAGCAGTACAGGGGCCTGCATAGGACCCAGGTACAGAAGTGCCGTCAGCGTGCCTGCCAATGTCTCCTCGTTCTCCAGATCTCTTCAGGAGGATGTCTTCTTTCTTACACCAGGCTTCATCCAGAAGAGGGCACAGGTAAGTGTTTGATTGCTGGCTAAGGAGTGAGTGTAGCACCAAGTCCTGCCTGGGCAAATGGAGGCCACAACCAAGAGCCCAGCATGTGAGTGCCCACTTGGGAGAGGAGGAGTCATAGGTTTCCCTCCCAGCCTTCTCAGCTGCAATAGGCATCTGTATCATGGCATTTCTAGGTGCTGCTAGTTCATATCTGCTGGTGCATATTTCTTCCAGATTATGAGGAGGTGAGGTAATAGATTCTCTAAATTGTTAAATCAGCAACTATTTATTTATCATATATATGCGCACGCACACACACACACACACACACACACACGGGAAAAGGCTACACTTGTGGAATCATAAGACATCTACTAGCCACAGTGGATATGTGGCTAATCTGGATTTGGATGTATTGTGAAGATAAATTACTAGCAGGTTGTAGTGATTTCATATAAAAATAAGAATGTAAGCCATCTCGTCCATACATTTAAACATATTGATTACATGTTAAAAGGATAATATTTTTAGCATATATCTTTAAAGTCAATTTCACAAGTTTCCTTTCCTCAAAGTATTTTCTCATCAAATTTTCTTGTCATTTCACATGATGTTATCACATTCGTGGCTTATGTTATTTTTCAGCTGCTGTCAATGATCTGGAAGGAATTTGTGGAGGAGAGTACCAGGCGTTGAGCCCAGTGCCTTCACACTGAGCAGGCTCCCCAGCTCCTTTATTTTTTACTTTTAGAAAGGGTCTCTCTGTCCCCCAGTGCTCAAATGCGCCATCCTCCTGCCTTAGACACCGGAGCGCTGGGGTTACAGGCATGCACCAGCACACTTGGTTCGCCGTTTCCTTTTCTGAGAGTGAAAGTTTCACATGTAAACTAAAATGTTCACAATGGAGCTCTGTGGCTTGATTTAATCATAGTGAATTATCAGAGTATAAGAACATACTCTTTTGAGAAGTACAGTCTGCTTTAAAAAAAACTGGTGAAGGAATCTAGTCCAATAGGTATTAATAAACATGAGTGTAACTTCATTTAAATACACACACAAAAAAAAACTTACGGAATAAGTGAGATTTATAGACTTCTCTTTACATACATTTTGTCATTTTTCAATAGCCACTTCTCAACACCTTGGGACAGGCATTAACACTTGGCAGATAAAGACAGTCAGAAGATAAGTCATTTGTCTGAGTAGCGACATGGAAAGGTAGCCTTAAAGCCTTGCCCTTGTTACCTTTCCTAACAGGTCAAAGTCATGCCTGTTTAGGTGCCAGGCACCCAGGAGGCCTTACCGACACTCAGCCATGTGCACTGCACTGCCCGGCCAGGGTGACCCAGTCCACTTGTAATCCCAGTCTTCTCAGCAGGTCTCTCCAGGGACTATGGCCTATTCTCCCCTAGAACGGAAAGAGAAGTCAGGCTTAGGTTGAGCAATGATCTCTGCTGGCTGCTTTTCAAAGCTCAGCTCAAATGTTTGTTACCTGTACAGAAATCAGAAACTTAGAACAAAATGTCAATCAACTCCATTGGAAGTCTAACAAATTTTCAATCAATGCCATCACTACATAACACTGCTTAATCCAGCTGATTTTCATCATGGCAAATCTGTCAACAAATGAAGCAGTACACTGATTGACGTTCTCAAGCAAGCTCCTACTTTGTCTTGTACGGTAATGAACAGTTCTCAGACCAATCATCCTTGGTAAGACTGGAGAACACTCCTGACACCTGCTGAAGAAAATCATAACAACTCTTATTTAATAATAACAACAGTAAGATCTTCATGAGAATGAACCTTAAAGTAAGGACTTGAAGTGATTATTGTCATTAAATAGCTCCTATTTATTGAGCGTGGTTCTGTGTACTTGCCTCCATTATCTCACTTAATCTTCTCAAGGAAATCTTTGTAAATAACTTGATCTTGGTTATACCGAGTGAGGGACTTGAAGCCCAAGAAGCTGTGGGACATCCCAGTAAGTCTCAGCTGGGCCTTGCACCCAGGCAGATTCATTGAATTCCAAACATGTATTTTCCGCTGACGAACGTGAGCTTTTAAAAGCATCCATTCAACCATATCTTTCCCTATTTAAAATATGAAACCTAAAACTGATTTTAATGGTCTCCCCCCGTAAACAGAATAAAATTGTAATGCCTAACCCTGACCCACTAGGCCCTTATGATCTAGCTCTAGTCCTCCTTACCAACCTCCTCTACCCACCATACGAGCTACACTGTCCTCACTCTGGACTTCAAAATGGTACCCCTCTGCTAGGAGGTTCTGCCCCTTAGGCCTTGCCAGGTAACTACTGTGCATCCTTTTAGTTGTGTGGGAAAGTCCTCAAGAAGCCCTCTCTGACTCTCCAGTCTAGACTCAATCAAATACCCACCTTCCCTTTGGTCTCTCTCACTCAGTTTTAATGTCTTTTTGACCACTAATTTTCAGGGCCTAGGATGACACAGAATTTTTGTTAGTTCTCCAGTGTATCCTAATGTTTGATAGCTCAGTATTTGTGGGAGAGAGAAATGAGTGTACAGATGGACAAGTGAGTAAGTGATGGGGTCCCTTTAGCAAGAAAAAGCAAAGTACAGAATCCACTTAAACCTTGACGGTGGTGTGGATAAGAAATCTGAATGTGCACTGGGAAACCATATTATTTTACTGTGTATGTGTGTATCCACATGTGTGTGGGGGGGATCTGTCCTACAGTTAACCTATTGGGTTTTTTCCAGGTACTTTAAAGCTTAAGGGGGAACTGGGGATATGGCTCAATGGCCCCGAGTTCCATCTCCAGCAGTATTGAGAAAAGCTAAAAGGATAGGGGCCGAGGGAATAGCTGAGTGGTATAGTGCTTGCCTAGTATGTGCCAGGCCTGGAACGGGGGACTTAAGAAAAAGGTGGGAACACGAAAAACTAACAAAAAGTTCCTATACAGAGTCTATAAAGAATTCCTACATGGTGGCACATGTCTAATCCTAGCATTCTGGGAGGCTGAGACAGGAAGATCACAAGTTTAAGCCAATCATGGGCAAGTTAGAGACTTAGGAAGATCCTGTCTCAAAAAAAAAAAAAATCCTACAAACTAGTAAAACACACACACACACACACACACACACACACACACCGACAAACCAATACAGTGAGTAAAAAACCTGGATACCTCACAAAAGAAGGTAGCCAAATGGCCAATCAACTTATGATCTAGTGCTTATTACATTAGTTACCAAAAAAATCTGGCTGGGATACCACTTAACACTGACAAGAAGGCTAAAACCAAAAAGACTGAAAATATCCCATGCTTACAAGGAAACAGAGCGACTGGCGCATTTGCTGCTGGTGGTAGTGTAAATTGTTAAAGCCACTTTGGAAAACCAATCATTAGTTTCTAATAAAGCTGAGTGTGTGCCTACTCTATAAGTGGCGTGCACTTCTAGGGATATACCCAGTTTAAATGCATACACACGTTTACCAAGAGACATGCGCAAGTGTTCACAGGTAAAGGTACATGTGGGGGCTCATGCCTGCAGTTTCAGCACTGAGGAGACTGAGGCAGGAGGATCACTGCAAGTTTGAGGCCAACCTGGGCTACATAGTGAATTCAAGGTCAGCCGGAACTACAGTGAGACTGACTCTGTTTGCCCTTAGCCACCTAAGTTCCCTGCAGTGGCGATGTGGAGCTGCCTGAGCTCCAGGAACAATCGCAGCCCAACTCCCACACAGCATACTCAGATAGGCATCTTTTTGAGCGAATGTGTGGATGACCCTTTCTTCTGGGCCCCATTTCCTCCACTCATTCCCTTTGAGATTACCCGCAGTCACTTCAGGCCATTTGAGCCCTCCTCAGAGCACAAGATGACTCACTTCTTGCCTGGCCTTCACACTCACTGTTCCCCTCTCCCTCACCCCCCAGCAGGTCCTGCTCAAAAGCCTTTAAAAGGCCACCATTCAACCGACATGGGAAACACCCTACCTGGTCCTCCTTGCCACCCTGATTTCTGTTGCCCTTCCACCCTGCTCTTATTACTGCCCTTAAAACCCAAGACTGTCAGGCTGTTCTGTGCCTCCTCCACAAAGGCTTCTCCCAGAAAGCTACCTGTCATTCTTGTGAGTCTTTCACTCCCTAAACTCACTAGCTTTACCTTTCCCATGTACAAGAATTAATATCCTTCCCCCCAAACTCAGCTTCATTCCAGAAAACTAATCACCTCTGGCTCCAGGATATCTTCATCAAGTTCACTCTAACCCAGATCACTTGTTTACTCGTCTGCCTCCACATTCTATTAATCCAGCCAGCATGTGGCCCATAACAATGATGTCCTTGGGCTGTTCAGTTAATTCCTCTCCTGGCAGGAGTCAAACTAGCCACTACTGCTGGCTGTGGGCCAGCCAGAGTGAAAGTCTCCATTCATCTTTTCTCAATGCTCTCCAAGCAGGTAGCCAAAAGTCTCAAATCTCCATAAAATTCTCCAACCTTCAAGACCGAACTGTCTTCCTGATAACAGTGGCAGCAATTATCCTCCGAAAACAAATGGGCCTTGCCAGGTTCAGTCCAGCCCCATGCCCCGTGGCTGCCCATGCCAGGGTCAGTTCTGAAAATAACTTAAGTTCTCAACTAAGAACAAATAAATTTCACTGCTCTGCTGCACCAAGACTATTATCTCCTGCTCAGGGTATTCCTGAGAACTTAATCTCCCACCTCTACTGCCCTGCCTTCTGCCTTTTCCAACTGAACTCCCCCTTCCCTTCACCATTTCTCTACCCTCTCTATGAAGGTATCAGGAAGTTTAAAACATCTCTAATGAACTCGCTAACCTGCAAGATCATATCAGCAGGTTTCTGTTGTGTTCCAAAACCAGAGGCCTAGGCTTGCTGACCACAAACACACGTACACACTCACAAAAGGTGGTATCTCTGCCTTTCACCAGAAAAGCTGCTGTTTCTTCACCAAGTCTTGACTCGTATGAGCTGGTGTCATGTTCAAGCCACGACCCTATTGCATTTCCTGAAAATAAGACCTACCTGGAAAATAAGCCCTAGCATGATTTTTTAGGATACTCATAATGTAAGCCCTAGTCCACCCGGTATGGGAAAGAGGGCCTGCTGTCTCTGTGAATAGATGTAAGCACTCCAAACTTTGAGGTCACTTATTTAAGGAAGACTTGCCACCTCCAGAGCCTTTTCTGACCTGGTAGGAAAGATTTTTATCCATACTGTAAAGATGTCAATGCACACCAACAGGTGTATGCATCCCTTACACATAGGCATGTGGGTGAAGTCTGTTTGCCAATCTACAGTGGAAGACCCACACCTTTGTACCAGTTCAGGCGATGGGGAAGGATGAGTCTGTGGATTATGGAGGGAACAGAGAGGACATGCTTTACAAACCTGGTAACACTGTCGTGAACTACAGGCTCTACAAAAAGCCTACATGCCATAGCGGTGGCATCTTGCCTTAGATGGAAGACATCAATGACTTTCTGCTGGACTCACTGTGGCAAGAGAAGTTACCATCTCATATACCAATACTGGCCCTTTTGAACTCTTTCCTCATTTTAAGTCATTTGAAGCTCTTCTGTAGAATAGACTGGTTCTAAGTCCAGGTTCTAGAAGGGACCATTGGTAGAGATAATGATGGGCCAGAGTTATATTGAAGAGCAGCCTGTTTGGCAGTGCAATCTGCCTTAGAATTACCCTGGGAGACAAGTTCCAAGGAGGCTTGATATCCCTGGTAAAGGGCAACTGCTACTTCATAGATTTACTGCCTTGGGAAGGTTGAGGATCTCTAGTCCATGTTTTATTGGAGACTGGTGACTAGTAAAAAGTCCTCTTAGTTTCTAGATGACTGCATTGTGGTAGGACCAGAAAGGCATACCTAGAGTCAGTATATTGCCCTGTGAAAGTTGGAGACCCCAAGTGAGAGCAATAAGTTTGGCCTGGCATCCCAGGGGCAAGTCTTCTTGCTTCAGTGACGTGGGTGGGGCTGACTGTACCATCACCTGCTCTTTTAATACCATCTGTAATAAAGCTGCTACCATCAGTGAACTATGTGTTAGCCATCCCTGTCAATGGCTGGTTCCTCAGATTGAGGTGGCTGGCATAATCCTGGGGGATGGCTTGCCCACACTCATGTTCTATCTATTGTTTAGTTGGGAACAGGTTGGCTGGATTTAAAGCAGTGCAACACTGAGGAGAAACATCTGGGTTTCCAAAAAGAATGTCCTCACGTATAGTGAGCCTTAATGTGGTATGGAGTTAGAACTAAGAGCTTCTGTCCCAAAGTTATTTTAGAAGCTTCCTAGACTGAGAGTGCTATAGCAGCTATTCTCTCAGGCAGTGAGGCCAATTCAGCAACTCCATCTATTTGCTTGGAAAAGTATGCAACTGGTTGGTTTTCTTGACCTGGATACTTAGCAGTCCTATAGCTATTTTTTTTTCCAGCCACTAAAAGAAAAAAGCTTAGTTAAGTCTGGGATTCCTAATGCTGGGGGCTGCAGGACCCACTTTAGGGCTTTAGAAGCCTCTTGTGTGTCTTTTATTCGTTTCAAATGTTCAGTTTCTGGTCCTTTGGCTATTACTCCAAAATGGGGTATCCATGTGTAGTAGAAGCCTGCCATTCCTAAGAAAGCCCTCAGCTGCTGTTAGATTCTTGAAGACCCATACAGAGAGTTGCCTCTGTTCTCCTTGGGGACAGTTATCTTTGTCATGGGGTTAAAATGTATCCCATAAATGCAACCTTTTGAGAAATCTGGGTCTTTATGTTGGGACACCTTATAACCCCCTTTTCTTAGAAAATTGAGTCTTAAGAGAGTTTTTTAAAATCAGATGACTCCTTAGTGAGATTACAAATGAAGAGGTCATCTCCATACTGTGGCAGACTTCTCTTTTTAAATTTTTATATTTAATCTCTCAGGTCTTGAGCTAAAGCCCATGCAAACAAGTGGGGGCTATCTCTAATACCCTATGCCAAGGCAGTACAGGTATACTTTTGGTGAAGTCCTGTCTGGGGATCTTCCCATTCAAAGGCAAACAAATATTGGGAGTTAGGATCCACAGGAATAGAAAAGAAGGGGTCCTTGAGATTGAGGACAGAGAATCAGTGTCTACTGGGACCTTGCTAAAAGGGTATATGGGTCTGCTACTAATGGGTGAGTAGGTACCACTGAGTTATTGATGGCTCAGATATCTTGTACTAGGCAATATTCTCCCCATAGCTTGACTATTGGTAAAATGGTTGTATTGCACAGGAACTGGAGTGGTATCAATAACCCTGTAACCAAAAATTTGTCCATAATGAGAGTTAGCCATCCTAGCCTAACTTTTTTCTTAAGGTAATACTGTGTAATGTGAGGATATAGATTAGGGTTTTTTAGTTGAATGAGTACTAGAGTGGCCTTGACACCTCTCCCTGGGATGCCATCATATCATTCTTGGGGATCAACCCCAAGCAGAGACATTGAGTCCCATGGGGTCAGGCTGCCTGAGTCCTTAGCAGTGAGGACACAGGTTGTCAGAGGTTTGCCTGTTAGAGTGGCCTTGAGTAGGAAAAGCATATCTCCTTCAGTTACCGGTATGAGGCACTCTAGTATCACCGTAAGGTAGCTTGGAAAAAGCAGTCTTCCAGGTGACAGTTCAGAAAGCTGAGTAAAGAAAGCTGTCCAGTTAACTCCTTCAAGGCCTGCAACAACTTTAGAATGGAATGAAAATTCACGCCAATAAAAAACTAGAATGGAACAACTCAGCTCAGTAGCGCAGAGAAATATAATTCATTCACTTACCACTTTGAGAGGCCCCCCCCAAGCTCTTGTAAGGTGATGGGAATTCACTTGTGTTGGAGGCCTGCAGGCCACCTCGGGCACCATCATTCATTGTCCAGGACTTCTTCCTGAGCCACCATGGTGGTGGATGACCTCATCCCTCTCTGGGAATGAGAGCTGTCCCTCTTCCAATGCTAAAGCTCTTCTTCCATGTTATGACAGGCCTAGTGAGAGTTAGGCAGTTTCTGAGGGCATTCCTTCACTCAGTGCCCCTGTTGCTTGCAGTTGAAGCACTCTGACTTGCTTTCATCACTCTTTGGATTACCCGGAATTCCCTTAGCACTGAGGATTTGTCCATGAGAGCGAGCATGTCTTCAGCCTGCTTCCTTTCCTTATTCAACTCTCATTTGTCTCTATTCTATCATGTTTATTAAAAACTGAATAAGCTACACCAACCCATTAACTTTATCTAGGACTTTCTGGAGCTTTTTCCTAATATCTGAAGGCGACTGATTAATAAAACACTGACTTTGGATAATCTGACCTGTAGACTCAGAGTCTAAATTGATGTATTTACAATCTCTTCATGCTAGCTAGAGCTGAAAAGCAGCTAGATTTTCATCAGAACCTTGACTAATAGACCTGAGCTTATCATAGTTCACATGTTTGGGCACCTCTTGCTACATACCCACTAAAATGGCCTTGATATATAACTTTCATTTGGCTTCTCCACCCTCTGTGTTATAATCAGACTCAGGCCTCTCTTGGGATCCAAATAACACAGCAATAGGCTGGTTATCAGAAGGTGCAGCTGTGTGGGCTTCATCATTAGCCTGCTTTGAAGCCCTTATAATCCTATTTCGATCTACTGCTGTGCAAGAAGAAACCAGGAAGAATTGAGCATCTTACCAGGTCAGATCAAAAGCTGTTGTTAGGGTATGGAAATCATCAGCAAACTTTTCAGGATCCTCAGAGAATTGACTCAGTTTTTTTTTTTTTTTTTTTTTTTTTTTTTTTTTGCATTGCTGAATATCCATAACTGAAAAAATAGACTTGTTGAGAAGGCGTGGGTTTTGTTGACGGGGGAGGTACAGGAAACCTAACAGGCCTATCCTTGAGTCAGTCTCCCACCCACTCTGGGACTTGACAAAGCACCCCTGACAGTTTCTGTACACCTCAGTCTCAGGGCTGTGACCTAGTAGGGCTGAATTCCTTGGGATTGTTCATGGAAGTCTCACAAAGCCTTTCCTTGAGTCAATTTCCACATGATAACCTGACAGGGCATCCTCTAGAATATGTATAACCACTTTCAGTTTTTTTGTCAAGGCATACCCTGATAAAGCTGAACTCCCTGGCGGTGGGCATTTCCAGCCTTGTGTAGGCATGCACTGTTTTCTCTTTCTTTCTTTCTTTCTTTCTTTCTTTCTTTCTTTCTTTCTTTCTTTTTTTGAACGTTAGAATCTTGATTCCTCATGTCTACAACTCATCTTTTGATCTAAGAGACCAAAACTTGTATGCTTTACTGGCTGGATGCCTCTTAGACAATTTTATTTATTTATTTATTTATTTATTTATTTATTTATTTATTTATTTATTTTTGAGGCAGGGTCTCTCTTTGTAGTTCAGGCTGACCCTGACCTCACAATGTAGCCCAGGTTGGCCTCAAACTCATGGCAATCCTTCTGCCTCAGCCTCCCATGTGATGGGATTACATGTGTGCGCTACCATGCACAGCTTTCTCTTAGAGAATTTTAAATCCACCTACTGCCCTGTCTAGGGAGGGGTAGCAATTGCTCTACTCATCAGAACCCGGGAACCTTGACAGCTTCCTCCCAGATGTGGCTCTCAGTGTTGATCAAGAAACAGACACTTCAACAGATGATATCCCACTATCTGTCAGTCTAAGGACTGGGATAAAACATCTCTCCTGAAAAAGAAAAAAATCTCATCTCACTAGATCAACCACAAACCTCGAAAGTCAAGCACAATGTATATTCAGCCAGCAAAAGCAGGTTACATACCCTTTTAGATAGGGACATATCCTTGAGGCCACAGTTAACCCAGTGAAAGCAAAATGAACTAAAATGGAGAGAAAGGACTAGCATCAGAGGAGTGAACTGAGGAGGAGATAGCTACAGATGGGCTTTAGGATCCAGGAAGAAACCAGTCACCTCAGCCAGCTGTGCTGATTCTCAGGGACGCAGGTACTGAGTATATTACTTCTCTGGATGTGAACTTTAAAATATGCAAATTTTGCTGTCCCTTTTCTTGCACATGGGAAAGCATTGTAATTTTCTACTGTTTCCTTGATTTTCTCAGTACCAAAAAGCCAAATTATTGAAATACTCCAATAAATGAAAGCCTGCAGGGGTGTGTGTGTGTGTATGTGTGTGTGTGTGTGTGTGTGTGTGTGTGTTGGGGGGGTCATGAACATAAAAGTGCTAGGATAGCAGGAAAGCAAAAAGCACTTCACACACAACACAGCACACTGCACACAGATAAATAAGGCTTTCAGAATTAATTGAAAGATACCTCAGCCCAGGTGCCTCTCCTGAGTCTCAAGGAAGCTAAGATTATAGAAGTTTACCACCATTCCCAGAACTCTAGCTTCTCTGAATACTTCTTAAGAAAAAAAAAAACTTATTTGTCTTTAGTTGGGTGTCCCTCGATTACTCCATGTCATTTTTCTTTTGAACTGTGTATTGCTTTTAGAAGTATTTAGTAGCAAGAAACATAATCTTTATATTCAACTTTATTTGTATTTCCAAGGTTTGCAAATGTCAGTGGTATTTGTCACATTTGAAATGTATGAAAGACTTTTCAGAATTCAGTTGCCTTTTCTTTAATGTTTGTGTCCTCATAAAAAGAGATGAAATTCCTTATCATTAGTGGTCATTTAATCTTTCTGAAATGAATAAAGTGTGTTGCCTGGGTATGTTGGCAGTTCATACTGGGAATTTATTTTAATGAAATAGAATATGGTTGGCTGTATAATTATAGATTGGGTGAAGTAATTTAACTGTTTTTAGATGTATAAGACAGGCTGGCATAATGAATGAAAAACACCTTTTCTTGAGGCTGAGTCCTGAGTGTCTCCTTTTGTCAACCTTGTCATAGTTGACATTCTTGTACTCCATAATTGATGTGAAGTAAGAGGCTTTCTTTTGGTAAAGTGACAGTCTTTGACTTGGTTTAGTGACAAGCTTTCTGAGCACTGTGGTATTGTGCTCTGCATTGTATGATCCTCATGCAGGCACTCTCTGATCAAATATTTTGAATGATTTCCATATGTTTTTGTGTAAGATCATGTGTTCCTTTCCTGTGTTAAAGCACACATAGTAGTTAGAAAGTATACCTTCCACATATGGAGAATTGGTCGTGCATGTAGGCAGAGACCTGTAACTATAGGATCTTTAGCTCTGACTGCCCCAACAGAGGATGAATTCTCTTATCTATTTGCCTAATATTTTTTCTTCTATATCAGAAAAATTCACAAAATCTGAATCTATCACCCATTGTATTATATGCATTCAAAAGTATTTCATGAATTCTGAGTTCTGTTGTTTTCTTAGAAATTTTTCTGGGAGAGTCATACCTTTCCCCCCATGGCTTTTAACATATATTGGCATTCCCTTGACTTATATGGGCTTAACAGTTTTCAGTATTGGCTGGTATGATTTATCAGCTGTATGCCTATACCGTAGCTCTTTTTGTATCATAATAATAGCTATCATTTTATGAGCACATGCCTTGTGTCAGGTATTGATAAAAAGTTACATGTATCATTTCATTATCCCAACAGCCCTAACAGTATACTGATAGAGAAAACTTTTATAAATAGCAAAACCTATAGTGTTACAATGTAAAATGGCTGCTGCTGTCTCTAGCAGCAGTTTGTTTTGCAAAGAGCAGCTTGTTTTGTTTAGTTCAGAACCAACATCCACTGAAGGCAATAATTACTGAATGAGACATTTGTTCTTACCCTGAGATAACATGGTAGGTTATGACCTCGAGCTCCAAAGAGACTGGAGCCACATGATTGTAAAAGTGTCAAGATGAAAAGGACCATTGCTAACATTTGCTCCCCTGACCCTGAACACCCCCTTCCTTTGGTCTAGGATAGATAACTAGGCAAATCTTAAAGTTAAACTCCCCTAACTACAAAGAATTACTACACCTGGGTTGAAAGGTAATTGTCTTGTGACCATGATTTGTACAACAACAGTGTAAACTGTGAGAACGAAATGTAACTACCCAAATAAAGCCAAGGCTGTAAAACCCTATAAAAAAAGGAGTTGTAACCCAATGTGTTATAGATCCAGGCACTGCTTTTATGTGCAATCGACCCTCATCAATGAAATAAAAACTTTTGTTAATTTACTTCCTTTCTGTGCCTCTTTGTGAGTCTCACTTACCAATTCCGTCCATAACAATACTATCCCCACCCTCTTTGTGGCAAATGAAACTTGTGGGGAAGAGAATGTAGATAGTTTTCCCATGGTTGCCCACATAGTATTAGACTCTGTTTTTATTTTTTGTTTTTCACTGCTGTGATAAAGCCCAGGCACATGCTAGCCAAGTTCTACCATTGAACCAAATCCTCAGCTCTGAATCTACTTTTAAATTTAAATCTGCATTACTTTTGAGTCTGTGTTCTTTAACGACCCTGTATCTTATTTCTTGCATATGGTGTATGAAACTATATTTAAATATATCTCTGCTCCCCACTAGAGCAGACTTGCTGAAGGTCAGGATTCCTTATTTGTGAAGTAGGGTTTATATCTGTCATCTACGGTGGTTGTGACAGCTTGGAGAGACAAGAAACATGTAAAGTGCCTACTACCATAAAGCCTGATTCACGGTATGTATTCACAAAATGGTAGTAACAATGATTAAAACATCCATTTACTTTTATAAATTTTGTCTCCTAGTGTGGAAATGACACTGAAACAAATTTTTTTGCCCGGATCCTAAATGTAAACGGAAAATATGTTGAAACTGGTGGAAATCAGTGGATTCACTTCACACTGCCGCCTTTGGTATTTTCAGCTTACTGGGCAGCTTTTCAGTATGAAGAGAATCCTAAAACGCTAGGCTTAGTTTTAAGTATATCACTAGTTTATTTTTCTTGTGCTCACTGCATGTGTGATAGTCTTGTATTATAGAAAATTTCGAACATATGCAAAAATGAAATAGTATTATCACCTGGCTGTGTCTGAGAGATTTTCAAAGCTGAAATAAGAAACTTAACTCACTCTTTTGTAACAGGTTCACTGACTCCCATGATGGAAAAAGAATTTTCAGGATGCACCAGTAAGAGGGATGGGAAGCATTTATTAGAGATTTAGGACACACTTGAAAGCATAGTGCAAGCGCTCAGAGAAATGAGATGCATTACAATTTAGAACTGGGGGTATTCATACTTTTCTAGAGGGATTGGAAAGTCCAGAAAACAGTGCTCCACCTTCAAGGTACTAGCCCCTTCCATGGGCATGGGTGGTTTTTGTTTGTTTCTGATTTGTTTTTTTGGATAGGTAATTTCAATAATCTCTGGATTCCCTCAGCCTTCTCCTTTATCTTAGGTTCAGGCTCCGGCTCACTTCTTTCCTAATTTAGCCAATTTATGGCCTTTTAGTGATGGGTTTGGAAGAAATCTAAATGTAAAAAAGAAAGCATGAGTTGCCTTCTACTTTAGGGTCAGGCTCCATTTCCTTACTTTCTTTTTTGTTTGTTTGTTTTATTTTTTGTTACCAGGGGTCGAACTCTGGTCTCTGCACTTGCAAAACAGGCACCAGAACCACTGAGCTAAATCCCAGGCCCCCTTTCTTAACTGAGCCTAACTCTGGTCTCTGCACTTGCAAAACAGGCACCAGAACCACTGAGCTAAATCCCAGGCCCCCTTACTTTCTTAACTGAGCGAATTTACAGCCTTTTAAAAATGAAGAGCATTGACTCCTGGTTCAACAAAAAGTTTCAATAGTCAAACATAACAAAATGTGCA